TATAAACTGAAGATAACTTAAAAAAATAGAAGAACTTTAATGGATCTCCTAATGGACATTGTTGCTCACAAATTCTGTCAAGTTATTAGCAATGAAAATCTGGGGACAAATTCCTGTTTGCAGACCTTTGTTATTCCCTGTTGTTACTGCTATTTGCTGCAATGATTGTGAAATCTGAATCAAAGCCCTACTGAACCCCAAAGGTCACTCCTGCAGTGATTCACCATTGTGACAAAGGAGGTGTAGGGCTTTTTTATAAGAGTTACTGTCCTTGCATATGTGAGTACAACTACATGTTACAGAATTATCAGAGAAAGAAAGAATATTGCCAGGATATAACCATTCACCCTACTTCTTGTTTCAGTACCTTGAGACAGCCTTGAGGCAAGTTAGCTGTTATGTAAGGTAGTACTGGGTATGCTGCAGTGCAATCCTGATCTTCAGGTCAGTTTTGGATCCAGCTTGCTGATTTGGGCCATAAGCCACTCAACTGGGTCTTGGTAGAGAGTGGCCTTCTGGCTTTGTTTTCACCAAAGCAATGGCAGGTGAGATCAGACCTCTTGCTGTTTTGAAAGTTTTGAAATATTTCTGGATGTTGTTGGAGAAGTTGTTGTATTTCAACTAGCTGGGGGAATTTCTAAACTGATATGTGCATGCATGTACACAGACTGCATATATAGCTCTGTATATATTCTGCTTTGGATAATGCAGAAGCAAACTGCTTTTCTGTGTTTGGTGGTAGAAGCACCCTAAAATCAAAAGTCCTGTCTGGAGGCAAAGCAGCTATATCCTCTGAGCAAAAAACAACTAGCATTAAATAAAAAGTCTGGACTTCACTTGACACCCAGGCTATGTTCCCTGTAACCCTTCAGCTGTAATTCTCATGGTCTTCAAATGCAGTGGTCAGTAACAAACATTTACTAAGAAGTGACCATTTTTACATGCTTTACCTGCTTCAAAATTGGAACATAGGTTTCTTACCTTTGCCATTAGACTTTGATGCTTCTAAACTGTTATGTAAAATGCCAAATGGTCAGTTTCTTGTTAACTTAAGCTACAATTAAATTTTGTCTGCCATCATAAGGTAATTATAAGACCAGCATGGTACAGAGATGTATAACTTCACAAATGAGGAGAACAGAGGGGAGAAATATACACTGTGAATGGGAAAAGCTGTTCACATTAAAAGAGTAAAGATCAGAAGTCAAAACTCATGAATTAATTGGCAAAATAGATTGCTTTTATACACGTCTTTCCCCACCTTTCCATCCTCATGACAATCTTCTCTTTAGTGTGTTAAAACTCAAAAGATCAATACAGTGTAGGAAGGAGTATGGTATGAGCTCAAAGCATACAGCAGCAACTGTTGTGATAAAAGAGCTCAGTAGTCAGAGATGGTTTAGTCACTACGAAAACATTTGTCACTGCACTGCTGTGGCATAATGCGAATTGTCATGCTGTACAAGTACTTGTTTTGCATCTGCATAACTGTTGTTTAAAGTGGAGACATAAGGCTACTTTTAGATCATTAAATAACATAACTGAGAAACAGAGTAGTTATAATGAACTATCTTGTGTGATGCTATATATACAGAAATCCAAACAGGACAAAGAGTAGTACTGAGCAAAATATGCTTTCAGCCACATGGTGATGTAATTCATACTTCATCTCTCTGAGCATTTACAGCCTATAAGCATCTTACATAATCGCAACATATTAATCTCTACAGCCAAGTCTATTAGATTTGCCTAGTGCTGGTCTTACAACACAGGGTGAATTAACATATGCACCTGTGTAGTGTTTGTTCTCTGTACTTAGTGATAATGCACTACAGCAGTAATTTGAGGAAAAAAAGTCAATTTGAGGAAAAAAAGCAAAAAATAAGCTGCCAATATATTAATTGGCTTAAAGCAATTTGAAAGTAAGAAAAGAGAAAACCCAAATGCATAAATTTAAATTATTTAATACACTACTGTTCGTTCTTTAGCAGTTCTATATAAGAAAGTGATCGTCTGGGACACTGTATCAGATGAGAGCTGAACAAAGCTATGGGAAAACGGTTCAGCTATGACATTAAAATTACTATACCAGTCAGAGAGGCTGTAAGTTCCTGGGTGTCGTGGTTTAAGCCCAGCCGGCAACTTGGAACCACGCAGCTGCTCACTCACTCCCCCCTTTTCCTTCCTCCCCCCGCTCCCGGAGGGATGGGGAGGAGAATCGAAGGAATGTAACTCCCACAGGTTGAGGTAACAGCTCTCCAGTAACTAAGGTATAATGCAAACCACTCCTGCTACCAATAATAATGATAAGAGGAATAACAAGGGAAAAGGACACAACCGCTCACCACCTGCCGACTGATACCCAGCCCGACCCGAGCAGCGATCTGGCCTTCCGGGTAACTCCCCCCAGTTTATATACTGGGCATGACGTGCTGTGGTATGGAATAGCCCTTTGGCCAGTTTGGGTCAGGTGTCCTGTCTCTGCTTCCTCCTGGCTTCCCCTCCTCTCTGGCAGAGCATGAGACTGAGAAAGTCCTTGGTCAGAGTAAACATTACTGAGCAACAACTAAAAACATCGGTGTTATCAGCGTTGTTCCCAGGCTGAAAGTCAAAAACACAGCACTGCACCAGCTACTACGAAGGAGAAAAATGACTGCTGTAGCTGAACCCAGGACACTGGGTCAGATACCAACGTGTGAAGATAAGGGTTCAACTCCACTAGAAATCATAAGAGAGCATTATTTTCATACCATCGACTTCACTAGATTTGCACAAGACTTAATAGGACCCAAAGTCTTTCCTTAGAAAGGAGGACTGGGATAGCCATGTAATCTGCCTGTCTGAGGATCTGTACATGCAGTGTGCCTTAGCTCTGAGAAATAACAAGGAACTAAAACAATCGCCTTTTTTTTCAGACATCACCATCTCATGAGAGTAGAACCTGGCATTTTCACTTCCACTGACCTCCAATGCAACTCATATTGTGACTCTTCTTTTCCTGTATGTAGGTCTTGCTTGCATTTCAGCAACATTTTACATTAATTTTACATTAGGATAGCAGTAGTTCTTTTAAAATAATAATAGAAAAAAGTCGTAATGAAGGTACTTCAACAGCAACTATGAGAGCCAAAAATACCCACCCTTAATATAAACCAACACCGACATTGCTTGCTAAATATGTGCTTTATAAGCATGAATGACTTGTTTCTCTAAACCTGGGAAATTGGAGTAAAGTATTCACAACTCCTATAGCTCTTCAAGCCAGCCAGTGGTTAGAAAATCTAGGACACATTATCCCAATTTGTACTTTTTAGAGAGATAGTTATATTTCTACTTATCACAGAGAAGACAGCAGTAACTTGACTTCAAATGAGAAATTAAATGCCCACCCATCAACAAGAAGAGAACCTCCTTAAATTGCAGCACAGGAAGTCAGGCTAATGATGAATCATAAAATCAGCTTTGGTATTCCAAAGCTTTGATACTTCCAGAGACATATTGATGCCCAGAACTGCAAATAAAATATAGGCACACAACTTGTCAATGCCATGTCCAGAAATGACATGGGATGAAGTCTGGACTGGCCTCTTACTGGAGATCTGGAAGTGCAAAATTTGGACAGGCACAAGGACACCTTGTTGGAATCTGATTTCCTTATGAATGTCACTTGGCTTTTTCTTGCTTCTGACTGGAGAGTTTTTTGAACCACAGAATGTTATTCTGTGAAGGAAGGCAGATGAAGTGATAGCATCAGCAGAAGAAGATAAGGTATCGGCCTAGAAACTAATTGCACAGCTTGACTTTCCAATTTGTTAAATAGAGGGAAATTCCCCATGAAGGGGAGCACAGGCTTCAAACTGCTGGCAGACTTTTTCATCTTATTTTTGAATAACACAAAGTAGAGACAATTCTGATCTAATTGTAGACAATTTATTAGTAAAAAAATTAGCTGAATAAATTGTTCTCTCTAGTGTGTAAGTTAAAGTTAGAATACACACACACCAGGGAAGATTATTCCAGAGGTATTTATGACTGCAGGATATCTGAAAAGTACTAAAAATTAAATGAAAACAACAATGGCTTATATAATCTCTCCTTTTAAGTATGCAGCTATATGAAATTTGTGGTCGTTAAGCAGCCGGGTCAAAGAGTAAGTCAGCCCCACTTTGAGCTGGTGTGTGGACAAGATGATCTCCAGAGGTCCTTCCAAAATAAATAATCCTTGGATTCCATCAAATGCCCACAATTAATAAGGTTGTGTCAGACTACTTCAAACCTAAAAATCTATCTCAGGTCTACCTGCAGAAATGGGTTCACTCTAGTGGAAAGGGCTCAAGTGCTCTCTGAGCACCACAACTTACCCTCACCCTCAGGTTGCCCCATCAGGCCCCAGCTATCTTGTCCTCACTTTCATCCTGACCCTGTAACAGCACATGGTTATTCGCAAGCATCAAGCGTATGCAGAGCCCCTGAACAGTCTAAACCATAATGTAACAGGATCCTCTGTGACAAATGAAGGCAGTCAGAATGAGGGCACAACAGGGAGCCTGTCCTGCCTCTTCCTTATTTCTGTCCAACTCAAATGCACTCACGTGAACACAACAGCACATTTCCATCTGCTGAGGGAGCTACTCTCTTCTTCTGCCACCCTCCCTCTGCATACAGATGTGCTTGTGTGTGGACTGCACACTCCAGAAGGCAGATGCTGCTGGATTTTAATCCCCCAGAATTCTCTGATGGATTAAACCTCAGATCTCTAACCCTTCTTTTAATGGTGCAGTAAGCAACACACATATTGCTTACACTGATTTACAGCTGAAATAATCATGAAAGACAGTCAAACTGAAATATCTGAAAATCAATCTATGTTGCAAGTGGATGGGACACTAAAGCATTCTGGATTATTTTCTCTACCCTTCACTCTGCCCACTCCCTGATGAGGCAAAAATCAATGTCTGCAGCAATAAAAGTTGCAAGTACATGTATTACCCTCCACCTACCTGTAGCCCTTCAATTGCCAGTTTGAGGATAGATGGGGTAAGCTTGGAAGCTTGCTTGAAGGAGAAGTTGCTCCAATCTATAATTAGAATGAAGCCATTTATCTGAAGCTCCTGATCTTCGATGAGCACTTCCAAGGACAGTAGGATAGCCCGAAGGATATCTATGAAGGAGTTCCTAAAGCCAAAGCAGAATAAAAAGTGATCAATGGTTGCAGTTATCTTCAAACCTCAAGATACGCAGCTTTGCTGTGGATGGGGCATGAGGGAGGGATGGGGATTTATTCTGGTAGAATTCTTCCAAAAAGAGAGTTGTTTCAGAGGTGTCACTAAAGAGCTCCTTCTCTGAAACTCACATTGGTGTGATAAATCCTGCACAATGGTGGATAAAATAAACCCTGAATGAAATCTTTTTGATTGTTCTGTCATTCCTTACAATAGATTTTAGCTAAGCTACTTTGCAAAAATATTTGTCTGCGGTGACATGAAACAGATTCAGGCTATCAGTTTAAATCCCTGCTCTTTCGGATATACTTTACCAGTCTGTTTGTTTGTTTGTTTCACTTCTTTCTATAAGAAGAAAATCTGAAAAGGAAATAAATCAATGCAATATTAATATAAATGGTATGGTTACAACCAGGCTCCCTGGCTTCCCACGTGAGTGGAGAGCATGATCCAAGGCTTTGCACTATAAATTTTGACTGTTGCCTTATTTCTGCAAACCAAATGCAATATGAAAAATAGCTGCATCCACTCAAAATAGGAGCTCTCTTTTAATTAGCAGCTCCCAATAGGCTGGCTGAAAGGCTTCCCTCAGCTCTGGGAGAATAATTAGAAGGCCCTGAAGGAGATAGAAAGTGACAGTGAAGAAAATACTGAAATGTTTTACTTTCATGTGGAAGTCTGTACTGAGAAGCCTGGGCCGCTTTCTACTTCCACCTCATGCATTTTACAAAAGCAAGAGTTGGACACTTAATGACTAATTCCATATTCACACCTGAGTAAGCTGAATCAGACTGTCTCCTGATCTGTCTTTCTCACTAAGATGATTTACAAATAATAAAGTCTTTAAGAGAGGAGCAAGAAAAGAAAGCTTCAGAAAGTTCAGCTTCACCTTGTCTAAGATGAGATTGTAACATACTGCTTTTGCAGTCTACCTCTGCATAATTCTCAAATTTTGATGAGGCCTGAGGTCTATGACAGGGAAGGTTCACACCTTGTTCTTCCGTGGAGATTTTAGTTTAATCCTCTTCTGCTGTTTTCTTTAATTTGAAACAAGTCATCGAAGCCTTCAAGAGTTTTTTTTCAAATTCTGCCCAAAAGAAAAAACCTATGTTCTGTCAAAACAAACTTCTCTACCATCAAGACCTCTTCCTGAACAGCAGCAACACATGAGAAATCTCTATTAGAAGTAACTGGTGAAGTGTTTTTCTGTTCTCTCTCTTCTCATTTCTCTCATCAGTTTTTGAGTGGCGTTTTTGTCTAAGGACACAGTCCCTTGAAAAATCTGTTTCTGAACTGTGCTCTTCTGCAAAAATTAGAAACTCCTCTGAAGTGTAACTGCTGAGGCAACTTGCAATACACAGAGCTTAAAGATTTAACTTTGTTGCTGCTGGGTACCAGGCTGCCCATTTCTCATTTGCAATAACAGGACAACATTGGCGTTTTCAAATCCTATGGAGAAACTGTGCTAAACAGACAAACTGAAACAGTAATTTCCTTAGCAACATAAGATGAGGGCATACTGATTGGATTGGCAAATTACATTTATTTTTAGTCTAAATTTATTTCAAAAAACTATGATATGTATATATTACCCATCACCCAGCTGGTGATGATTTTCAAGCAGCAGCACTAGATTGCTAGGCTTTCAGTGATGATAGTAGTGAATGCACCCCTAGACCTTATCTAGTTAATATATCCTACACTGCTCTACTATTCAAGGGGTTCAGCCTTCCACAAGAACTGCCCTGAGGAAGCTCTCAGAGCTGTGCAGTGTCTCCAAAAGTGTCCTTACAGACATGCCAGCCTTCTCTACTCTCTTGTTGACATCAACACACAGTGGTATCATCATTCATGGATAGACTTTCTGGCTAGATTGGGGAAGATGGACTAACCCAGAGCTTAATTTAACTGCATATTTGCAAGCCTGAAAATGAACTGAATACTTGTTATTACTGAAGACCACACTATACTAAGAAAAAGTTTCATCCTTCATTTGTAGGAAGAAGTTTTCTTAATAGGCCATTGAAATTCGTATTCATGATCCTTCTACCCCTGATACTTATAAAGGTTACTTAATGATTTCAATAGGGCTGTATAGAAACAGTGCATACAAGGCATCCTCTGTAATACACTTGAACTCCAAATCACAATAAAATATTTCATTTGACTGAGTGAAAAATCTTCCTCTTGGACTCTCTGCTGAGGAATTCCGGTCTTTATTTGGGTGTCTACATAAATTACCAGGATATCAAGCAATTACTCACCTGCACTTTCAGTAGAAATTATTTGCCTGGGAGATATGGTGCCCAGTTTTCCTAGAGTGTAACTAATCTGGCTGTGCCCTGCCCAGATCCCTCCCCTGTCCCACAGGTATTTGCAGTTTTAAGACATGGTGTAGGAAATAACTCGAAGTGAACACAAAGACATTTTTTGAATGAGTGCAAGGACACGTGAAAGCAGCACACAGGTCCTCCAGGTGGGCTGTTTGCAGGCATACTGTTTTGTGAATGTAGGGTCTGGGTAGAAATCCGACAGAGTGCCACTTGAGGCTGAAGCCCTCTGCTCTCTAATCTTGAGGCTTTGAGACAAATCATTCAGCTGTGTGACTGATTTGCATCCAAATAATTTTCTGTGCATGAACACAGAACCACTTTCTATTAGTCCATCTCTTTTGTTCCTTTGCTTAATATTCCCTTCCCTCCTCCAAATCCCTCTCCACCAGTTTAACCCTCTCACACACTAAAAAAGTGAAATAAATTGCTATTACACAAAGGGAAATGTGTAAGGTGCTGTAAGGATTCAGCATGGAGCCTACTGAAGGGAGGCACTAATGAGTTACAAAAGATTTGCACAAGCTCCAGAAAGACAAAAAGGAAGAGGGAGAGAGAGTGCCTATCTGCCTTGGCTGAATGGAAAGGTACCACAAAAGAAGCTCTTCAAATATCCTTTGGAAAATGGGAAGTTAGCCCAACAGAAGCCAGTGGTAGAGAACAATAATGTAAAACAAAAATGAAGATGGTTTAGCTGAGGGATTTGGTGGGGAGATTAGCCAAAGGCATAACATGAAAATAAATAAGAAGAAATTACTTAATTATAAGAGGCGTAAGCAGGCTGTGAGAGAATCAAAAGGCTCAGTGGAGTACCAAGGAGCAATGGGAACAATTAAAGAGGATAAAGACATTGCAGGGAAATTAAATGATCTATTTGCACGTCTCTGCCACCAGTCATTTTGAAGTGATACATGGATAATAAAGCTGAGGGACTGTTGGAAAATAAGGGGTCAAATAAGACACACTGCAAAAACCCGATACATTTGGGAAAGACAGCATTAGTAAAGGTTTTTGACGTTACTCTCTCTGAACAGCTAAGCACAGGCTCTGTTTTAGGCATGCTAGTGGAATTAATTGGATTATTCAAATGGTTAAAAGTATGAACATACAGAAGTACTGGCAGCTGAAGCCATTAAGATTGTCTGGCAGTAAGCAAAAAAACAAACTGTCACTAAAAATCCTGACTATCCCAGAAAACAGCAGGCTAACAAATTTGGATCAACATCATTATCTTGGCAGTTGCAGACAACTCAGTTTAGCATCCCTGAGTTAGTATGTGGTAAAAGTCTCTCTCCTGTATTTACTTAAAAGGTGGCCAAAGCTGAATAACATTCAGCAAGCTACAAATACGACAGAGATGCAAATCAGGTAAGAGACCACATCTTGTTTTGTTCCCTCCCCAGATAATAAATCACCAATGAAGATCTTTTAATGGGGGGAGAGCTGGCACTACCCTGCAAGGCAGATTCCCACTGGGAGTAAAGCACGGAAGAGTAAGAGGAAACAAGAAGGACCAGAAAAACATCTTCAGATTGCCCGAATTGTTTGAGCTAATCAAAGCTGAAGAAGCTGGCTGCGCCTCAAATCCTGTGTTCATTTCTGGGCCCTTTGCTACAAGAAAGACATTGAGGTGCTGGAGTAGGTCCAGAGAAAGGCAACGAAGCTGATGAAGGGTCTGGAGCACAAGTATGATGAGGAATGGCTGGAGGAACTGATGTTATTTAGTCTAGAGAAGAGGAAGCTGAACGAAGACTTTATTGGTCTCTACAACTACAGGAAAGGAAGTTATAGCAAGGTAGGTATCGGTCTCTTCTCCCAAATAACTAAGGACAGGAAAAGAAGAAATGACCTCCAACTGACCACAGGAAGTTTAGATTGGGTATTAGGAAAAATTTCTTCAATGAAAGGGTTATCAAACATTGGAACAGGATGTCCAAGCAAGTGGTTTAGTCACCATCCCTGGAGGTATTTAAAAGACTGTAGATGCACCACTTTAATAGGCATAGTTTAGTGGTGGGCTTGACAGTGTTAAGTTTACAATTGGACTCTACGATCTTTTCCAACCTAAATGATTCTATGATTAGAACACAGTAGATCAGTGCTGGTGGAGGAGGGAGAACCCAGGAAGGAATATAGTTCATAGAATCACAGAATGGTTAGGGTTGGAAGGGACCCTAAGATCATCCACTTCCAACCCCTCTGCCGTGGGCAGGGACATCTCACACTAGACCATGTCGTCCAAGGTTCTGTCCAACCTGGCCTTGAACACTGCCAGGGCTGGAGCATTTACCACTTCTTTGGGCAACCTATTCCAGTGCCTCACCACCCCCACGATATAGAACTTTTTCCCACACAAAGACAAGGTACACCGTCCATGGAAAAGTCCTTGGAATCCAGTCAGTATTGGATTTTGAACTGCTGTTCATATGAAGTCATTTATTTCAGCAGATTAAATTCTCCTTTCTCCTCATGAAATATTGATAAGAAACCCCCAATATCTATTAATGTGTTCTTCAAAAATATCTGGGGTTTTTAATGCATATATTTATTTTAGAAATATAAAACTCACCTCAGCTGGTCTTAGAAACAGAGATGTGAAGAACACAGTAGATCAGTGCTGGTG